CTTCTCCCCCGCCAGCTCGTCTTTCAGCATGTGCGGACGGCCTGCTGCTGCACCTTTAATACTTCTTTTTTGAAGAATACATTCCTGGACTCCTTCACCCTTCAGGACTGCCTCCCAAGGGACTCTGTCAACCAGGCCCCTAAAGAGGCCAACGTCTGCCCTCCAGAAGCCCAAGATGGCGGTTCTGCTAACCCCTCTCGCTTCTCTGAGACTCGAGACATGTTTGTAAGATCCGTGCCACTGGAACAATGTTTGGAGGGAGGAGGACATTTCAGCTGTTTTGAGGAGCTACTTACAAATACTCTTGCTAGTAAAGATAAGCATAGTATTTTTTGTAGGTCCAAATATCAACTTTTAAAATAGGTGTAATTGTTAACTAAAACCCATAATATTTTTTACAGATAAGTTTATTTACTGGTATGAAGTAGTCCACACTGGTGCCTGAAATAAAATTGATATCTTTCTTAGACCGATGCAGAATATTTTTAAGCACTGCCATTACACTTTCTTATTAATTTACAGCATTCTAATTCTAAATATATTGTGCTTAATGGAATTTTTCTTAGGAGGCTGAAAGTGCTTCAGTTAACTACTTGCAAAGCTGGATACTTGTTCACAAAGTACTGCTTGATATGGTTGCTGTAATCTACCTATTTCCAGTTCCAGCTGTGTATTTTACATGCATAAATATATGTTCTTAATATATAGAGTAGGAAGCACTAGATATTAGACTTCTTAAAGAGTTACAGTCTTAGGACCTGAGACAATCCTCAATTTCTTCTGCTGCTCCCAATACAGGGAGCCAACATGGGTATGGGGAAGCCAGAAATTCTCATTTATTTTCCTGACACGCATGGAAATGCTGCATACAGTGGAAACTATTTTCCTACAGCATAGCAATGTCTGTGACAATGTCATTGGTATTGCACGTTTGTGAATGTGATGATTGTATTTTTCCTTTGGTGTTACAGTTTTCCTCACAAAAAGGGCTGCAGCAATAGCTCTGGCCTATTTTTAGAATTTCTAATTGCCACTTCTCAGCTTTGCAGTTACTTTAGCATGTTTTTCTTCCAGAATATGGTTAA